ACCGGAGAAAAACCAAAAAAAAAAAAAAAAAAAAAAGAATGACTTCAATGTAGCCCTCCTAATATCCACAGTATCTTCAATCAAGATTTATTTAGTCAGAAATTTAAGATTCTACCACCTAAGAAAAATTTCAAAAGTTTTCAGGACATCAGTGTGCCATAGGATTAGGACATAATTTTCCCTAGAGTCCCCTATTGATGTTTAAATAAGAAGTGAAAGAAAACCCCCCACCCCTGCTTTAAGGTGCACAGGGAGACAGCAGATAGAAGTTGGCCACACCGCATCAGAGACATAATTCAGACAGAGTCTAGTTGTTGGAGGGTGTTTGCTCCTGTTCCTCTCACCTTTCCCCGTCCTCAGCCTGACCATGACAAACCCCTGAAAGGCACCCTCTGCTCCTTAGCAGACAGTCCGCATTTCAGCACAGTGACGGACTTGCATCAGTTGGAAAACACTTGACCTCAGATTCTTCACCAAGCTCCCAGTTAACTCAAAAAGTAGCTGCTGAGCCCTTTCTGGGAACCCCAAACCAGGCTCACTGTGAGGTGGTGGGGAGAAAGGAGAAGAGAGAAGTCGTTTCTTTGCCCTTCAGAAAAACCCAGATCTTGTGGGACAAAAGATCGAATTATAAACAAGGGGAAATCAGAGCTCATAAGGCCGAGAATGAGCAAGTAGGTGAGACAGCGCGTGTGATAAAAATCAAGGCAGCTGGACTCAGTCCACGTTCTGCCCAGCCCACACCCACGTGACCTGTGAGCCCATCAGCCTTTCTGGGTGTCAGTTTTCCATCTGGCGAGCACATGTCCCAGAGACGCTGTGATATTTGGGGTCTGGAGTGAGGCAATGCACCCCACACAAACTCCCTCCACTGTTTATCGTCCGGAGCTGATGTTTAATTAATGGAAACCAGGCCGATCATTTATGACATGGACACTGTCTACCCATGTGACACTTTACAGTTCATGATGCACTTCTACATACGTCATCTCCTCCTCCTCCTAAAAGCTTACGGCATTGGCCAGGGGATCACTGTCCTCCTTGAAGAGATGAAAGCAGGCCTGGAGCTGCTGAGCAGCAGCAGGCCTTGGCCTCTCTCACTCACATCTTCTGAAACACCATGAGTTTTTCCTCTGCATCATAACTCTTAGGAAATGTGGGGACATGTTTTCCTCTCCCACACATGTCTCTTTCTGAGGCTTTAGTATCGATTTAAATGTCCTCACCTGGGGTGCTTAACTTAACCCCAAAATGTGGTGAGGAATCCTTCTGGCGTGTCACCAGAGCACCCCGAACTTAACTGTGATCCACTGACTGCTCCCTGACTCGTCACTACCTGGGTATTATCAGTTGCTGCTATCAGACTGAACGCAGGACTCCGGTTTTATTCAGTGTTTCGTCCTTGATGTCTGCCATGGAGCCTTGGGAGACGAGCTCCATTTAAGCTCACCATAAGATCTGGGGAGTACCTAAACTAACTACATGTTGAAGGTCAAAACTTCATTACAGCTTATCTGTTTACAAATAATTTTGTCCAGTAATTCTGGGCTTCTAAGTAGCCAAATAAGCTATGTGTTTTATTTATTAATTTTTTATTAGTACATATTTGCAGAACATGTGATTTACAGTCACCTTGGGGAGTAGGTGCGTGTTCATAATGCATCGTGCTTGTTTTGTTAATCCCTTTCCCTTCTCTACCCCCATATGCTTTATAAAAAGAATGGGCAATATTTACATTGGAAATTCAGCCCAGCACCTTCATGTTTATACTGCCACGATTTTATGAAAATAACTTTGGATAAATGGATGAATACATTGCCAAACCTGAAATTAATATGTATATATTAGGTTTTCTCTTAGCTGGCCAGCAAGTTCAAACATGCAAATACTTCCAACAGACAATTACAGAGACAATACTAGAATTTATGAGTATTAGTGTCTTTCCTGTTTCTACAGGAGATAATTAACATCTCCCAAATACAAGCTTTTGGTTCATTTATACGATATTTATCATGTTCATCTTCTTCTATTTATCTTCTTGAGATTTTTATTTTTAAAAGACCAGGCCAGGAGATAGAAATTTGTGTCAAGTAATATTTGGAATAGCAATGCAGAGCTGCAATGTGTAAGTCCTTCATGCTGTGTCTTGTGATATCCTTGATGTTTTGAACATTCTTAAATAAATAAAGGAAAAGAGATCACAGAGATGCTGAGACAATGGAAAGGGAGAAGAAATTGTTTATAAGGTTAAAAAAAAAATGTTACTTTTAAAAGCACAGCAAGGCAGAAGGATCATTGTGAGTTCGAGACCAGCCTGGGCTACAAAGTGAGCTCAAGACCAGCCTGAACTGCATAGTGAGACCCTGTCTCAACAAGACAAACAAAAAATAAAAAATAAAAATACAGCAAGAGCACAGGGGCATTTACCAATGGCCTCTGAAGTGTGTCTTGCAGTCCACAATTTAAGATCTACATCAAGCTTTGATCCTGATTTCTTTCCGGATGCCCACTAGGATTTTCTGGCGACGGCAGGTTCACTTGTTGGCAGAGATTCGGCCGAGCACTATCACCAGCTCCTTCCCCCAGCTCATGTCCAACGTGGATGCAGCTTATGAAGTGGCCGAGAGAGGCACTGCTTACTTCTTCAAAGGTATTCCACAGATCTCTCAAAGAAAGGAAAAGCACAGGTGCCCCAGCCCCAACTATTTGGAATGTGTTAGGTTGAGTATGAAATGCCACCCTACCCACTGTAACAGTGATGGGACTGACAGTGACTAGCAACTGCTGTCCTAACCCAGTCTTTGAGTTCAGTGAGGCAGCATTCTAAGTGACCATGGTCAGGAAGCCTGGAGCCTGACCCCTGCCCCCTCTGCTCAGAGTGACATGGCATAGCATCCAGAGCCTTTAACATTAAACAGTACCCCAGCTGCAGTGCCATGGTCAGACACAGCAGGAGAGGAAGGCACCTGTGGCTTCAGGAGGTGGATGCACACACGATAGGAGTCTCTGGCTTTAGCCACTTATTATTTGAGCAACTCTGGGAAGTTATCTAACTGTTAGGAGCTTGACTTCTTCCCCTGCAAAGCAATTATAGTAATATCAACCTTGAAGAATCACTGCAACAGCAGCTAACCAAGAGAAGTCACCCAATGCATGAGAACTATCAGTTTTTATTTGTATACACATTTTCTTTCTTTTTTGTGCTTCTGGAGACTGAACCCAGTATCTTGCACATGTTAAGCCAGTGCTCTACCACTGAGCTACATCCCCGGCCCTGCTGGTATTTTCTTGATGCTGGGGAATAAGAGTAGAAGGCTTGTATGAATTTAAGTGAGGGTCACAGCATCTGCATGTCACTTGCCCCTTCTGTCACATAGCTATATATAAAGGTGAAATTATATGATAAATGAAAGATACCTTGAAAGAAATAAATGTGTTAAATATAAGGCACAACTGTAACAAGATTATTGCTTTCTTAAGCATGACTAGAGATTTTTCCTACCTGAAAGTTTGAAGTCTGCTACTGAATTGCATAGAGGCATACATCACCTGTTGGATTTAGCCGTGGCAAATATCCCCATGAACTAGTCCCATTTCAGGTCCTGCACACAAAGCTTCATGACTGGAGCGTGTCACTAAGTGTTAAAGGGATTTTGCCGACTTTAATTTCTGTTTTCAGGCCCCCACTACTGGATAACACGAGGATTCCAAATCCAAGGCCCTCCTCGGACTATTTACGACTTCGGGTTCCCAAGGCGCGTGCAGAGAATAGATGCTGCGGTGTACCTCCAGGAGCCGCAGAAGACCCTTTTCTTCGTGGGAGACGAATACTACAGGTATGGATTTTACCCTTCGTTACCTAGATGCATGCGTGGGAAGGGAAAATCTCCCACAAAAATGAGTGCAGTGCAAGCTCACAATAGGCTCATTGACTCTTCTTGGCCATCTTCAAGATCATCGTTGTCTGATCATCAAAATAGAAACCCCTCCAAATGACAGGTAAAACATTGGTTAAAGACTCCCATTCTTTGGTCTCTAGGACATCAAACATCCTGCTTTTTCAATGAACTCATTAAGTGTATCTCAGTGACCCAAAAAAGCAGATACAGCACCCCTAAACACCTAACTACCCAATAAGGATGCCCGATGGGAAACCGACTCCACTGTTACATATGCATAAAGTACATCCCATAATTTTATGTGCTTTGTGAAAAAATGGGTGTGGTCCTGCATGTGGGGCTCTTTGAGAAAGTTCTGGTGAAAAGAAAAGGCTTTATTGATGAGTCCTTTCATCTGGCAGAGAACATTAAGATTCTTCTTATACAAAGGGAACCACCTCAAATGCTCATGCCTGTCCTTTGGGGACTTATTATAAGCTGATCTAAATAAGGTGTGATCTGTCACCCAGTCAATTTAAAGTTAAGAAAGTAATGTAATTAAAGCACCGATGTATTTCCTGAAAAGGAAAAATTTATTTTTGTAAAAAGTAACTTCAAACAAATGTGAACTCCACTGACTCTTCCCAAGCACTAAGAGCCCTGGAAGCATCGTGTCTTGCCCTGTCATCAGGTGTCACTTCCAGGCCAGCATTTAAACCACTAAGCCACTTATTTTCCTCCCAGACCTTCCTATATAAAACACAGTACAAAAGTTCATCAACTGAGTCACTCATCGCTGCTGGGTGTAAAAGGCTGTCTTCAAGATAAAGACGCTACAATCACAGTGCTTAAGTGCAGGAAGTAGGAACTGAGATTCCCCTCAGGGGAACTGAGATGTAGATTTTAAGATTCATTGTGGATTTTCAGGGAATGAGATGGAGGGGTGTACATATAAGCGTGTATGTGAGGGTGTGAAGGCATTTACATGAGGATAATTCAGGTAATTTCTCAAAGAGAATTACAGCCCGATTCTCACTGGGGGATGGTCCACTCTCACGAGCTCTCTTCTCTGCTTATTGCCTGATCTTTGGACTAATCTGCACCCTCGAGCACCCTCTGTAAAGTATGCACTTCCACCCAGGTTGGGTGGAGACTTCCCAGCTAAGGCAAGAGGGTAGAGATGATGAAGGCAGATATTTAAAATTCTCTGTAAATTGGAGGTTGGGAACAGAATGTCTCTGATTTTAATGATGTTTGATATCCCCAGAGGAAATAATACTATACCTATCCAACTGGGTCCCTGTGAATGTCTATTAAGAAAGAGTTTTCAGCAATCTAGGTAAAGAGGAGTCATAAAAAGTTGGTCTAGGACTTTAACCCACATGTTAGGGCACTCATATTACTTGTTAGAAAAGGCAAGCGCAGCAGGCATTGTCCACCCTCCCAGGGTGTTAAGTGACACCATGCACAGACACCAGCACGGTGACGCAAGCAGCCTCTCCGAAGGAGCAAATGTTCGTAACGGTGGGAGTTTGTATGGTAGTTAACGAAGGATAATGTAAAAGCTGTGATATTCGGGGCTGGGGATTTAGCTCAGCGGCAAAAGCGCCTGCCTGGCAAGCGCAAGGTCGTGAGTTCGGTTCCCGGTACCGGAGAAAAACCAAAACCAAAAAAAAAAACAACAAAAACAAAAAAGCTGTGATATTCTGCAAACGATTGCTTCAAGCTCAATCTTCCTACCAGCAGCAGGCCAAAGAGTTGGTCAAGAAGAATTTCCTTTTGAGTAATGAAAGCTCCTGACATTGAATTGAAATTATAGCTTTTGGCAAAATACAGGCAATCCTTTCAGGAAGAGGAATCTTCTACTCAGACTCCAGCACATGCATTGCTGAACGCACAAACAACCTGACCTACAGCTTAAATGCTCAGAAACATCAACCTTTCTAATACCGTAAGCCCTCCTAAATTCTGCATACCATGCTTTTCAGGGCCCACGTGTACAACAACTTATTGTCATGTGAAATGTGGTGCTCGTTTTGTGGTGCTGCTGATCACAGAGACTCCAGAATAAGTGTGGCTAAAACACATAAGGATTTGTTTTTCTGCGTAACATGTCTGAGGTTGAACAGGCTTAGAGCGGGGTGTGGGTCTGTGGTCGGTGAGGACCCAGGTTTCTTCTGTCATTGTGCCCCTTTGTTCTTGCCATGTGGCTTCCCCTCTTGTGGCTGCCCCATGATGTGAGGAGGCCAGGGGAGCTCAGTCTGTACATCTCTGTGCTAAGCAGAAAGCAGGAGGAAGCTAGACGGGCAGGCAAAGGAGACAGGTGATGCTTTATACAAGGAATGGCTGTCCTGAAAAACACAGAAGGCCGCAAGCCATGATCAGAACTTTTCTATCATGACCTCCACTGACAGTGTGTTAGGGCTTCCTTTCCTCAGTCCCATCTCAGGTTCTTCTTCATCCGGATGCTAGGTCATTCTGTGACCTAAAACAAAACTGTGTTTGTTACAAGGGAAATGCTGTCTGAGCTCCTACGTGTACAGGATTTAGACCCAGTTTCAGTGAATGCAACCGTGAGAAAATGATTAAAGAACTCCCTCTGTCCAGAATAGAGAGCTGGCTGAGGGCCGGTAGGTTTGGGTTCTAAGAGCTCGAACCTACATGTCAGGTAGTAGCAACAGGCCAGTAGTACCCAGAGAACCATAAAGAGGGCCTCAGAAGGAGGCTTGCCCTTGTTGATGCCAAGGTATTCTACAACAGCAAGTGATATAGTGGCTAAACTCTGCCGACTGGGGCTACTTCTGCATGTATATATGTGCTTTTATGCCTTTCTTTTCTCTATCTAGCAAGCTCTAACACTTTAGTCAGTGTTCTCTCTCTGCATTACTTCCACTATCTGTGGCTAATTTCTCTGAACATTCTCTCTCGCCTACCAATAGCAAAGCAGTGGCCGTATCACGGGGAGTGTGGGATGCCATTACTTCCGTCATTCTTTGAGATGGACAGTCAGTGACTTCTGAGTTTCACGTAATTTGTAAATCTTCGGGTCCCACCCTTTTCAATCGCATTGCTACTCCCAAATCACTCCGTCTGTTCACACAGACCGGAGGCATCGTTACTACAAAGTGGGACACGTCTATATTTTCTCCTTCCTAGATACTCTAAGAATACTGGGAAGAACTTATTATTTAAAGATTTTACAGTTAGTCATCATAGAAGAATAAATGATCAGTAACAAAACTAAGAATGACAAAATACAATGCAAAATCTTATGTTTAAGATTTTAAGTTTTTAAAAATTGATTACCAAATTACCACATTCAATTTACATTTATTACACATAATTATGTGTCAGACTCTGTAGGGACCATTGACTTTAAGGCATAGAATTTGCTACTTAAAAGTAAGAACAGGGGCTAGGAGTATTGTTCAGTGACAGAGCACCTTCCTAGCAAGCATGAGGCCCTAGGTTGGATCCGCAACACTGAAAAGTGAGAGAGAGAGAGAGAGAGAGGTGGGGGGGAGGGGAGAGGACAGGAGAGACAGAAAAAAGGAGGAGGAGGAGGAAGAAAGGGAAAAGGAGAAGGAGAAGAAAAGGGGAAGAGAAGCAAGAGGAAGAGAAAAGGTAAGGAGAAGAGAAGAGTGGGAAGGGAAGGGGAAGGAGGGGAGGGAAGGCGTGAGGAGAGGAATAGGAAGGAAGGAAGGAGAGAGAGAGAGAGAAGGAATTAGGTGGGAATAAGAGAGCCCTCGGGTTAATCTTAACTCCACAGCAATCATCTGGCAGTCTGGACCACTTCTCAATTTTATCATCTGCAAAGTGGAGGTAGGAATAGTACCTACCTCATAGACTTAAAGGATTGAATTTGAGAACAATAAGAAACGCCTGTCACATAATAATCACTCAGTTCATATTGATGCAATTCATGTCGATGTCATCAGTGATGAGAATAAATAAATAACCAAAAGCCAAAAGCCAAAGTGCTCTCATAGAAGGCTGCATGGGGATTAGGAGGTCAAAACAAAGAGGAAAAATCTGCTCTAGCAAAGTTATCAGGAAAGAATTCTCAGAGGAGGTGAGGGCCGCATTCCATTTTAAGAGCTGTGTAGGAGTTTCCCGGGCAGGGGCTGGGGGAGTGGGTGGCTTCCAGGCAGAGAGCTGAAGCAAAAGCACTGAGGCACAACGCAGCCTGTGATGGCGGGGGAAACCTCAAGCATTCAGTATGACTAAAGCACAGACTAACTGAGAGATGTCACCCAAGGAAAGCAGGGCATAGAGAACACAAAGGTCAGCGGCTTTCTAGGGAGAGCCCTGTTTATTCTGCAGAAAAGAGGAACAATTTTAAGCATCTTGAGTAAGAGACTAACTCAACGCAACTGTGTGTTGTAAAGTGTCACTGTGCCGCCGTACGACCGGAGTAGAGGTTACATGACTGGAAACCAGGTAAAGCAGTAAGAACAGAGGCAGCAAAACGCTTAAAGAAAAAGTTTTCAACCAGGAATCCTATATCTCGCAAAACTACCTTTTAAAACGAAAGAGAAATAAAAATACTTCCAGATAAACGAACAGAAATTTTTTGGCTTGCAGATTTACCTTACAAGTTATATCAAAGAAGTTATTTAGGCTAAAACCAAATGACTCCAGAGAATAATTCAAACCTGCCCACCCAAAAAATAGAGAGTACTAACCAATGTGGTTATGTAACCATAACATAGTATAAATGCATATTTCTTCTTTTCTCTTACCTGATTTAAAACTCAGTTACATAAAACAATGTGTGTATAATTGTATTGTTGGGGCTACTGTGTAGAAATAAAGTATACTGGCCAACAGCTCAAAGAGACTGGGTAAGAGCAAAGCTGCATAAGGAAATAACACCAAATGGTAACTCAAGTTCACAAAACAAAAGGAGAGAATCAGACATGGTGAACCTGAAGGGTAATATAACAGAAGTCACAAAT